GGCAATAAATAATGCAACAATTGGCATTCAATTCCATCAGTCATGGACGTTATGTCCACATTCCTGCCAGTGATAAAGACTCTTTGGTTTTGCAGACATAGTCAGCAGGCAAACTTGCACAACCTGATCTCAATTAAATAATCTAATTGAATAATGACAGCAGCCAAGTGCTAATCAATTGGCTGTTTTGTCCCACAAAGCCATGTGGAAGCAACTGATTGCTAATTTGTGCACATGTGGGGAACCCAAATAAGGATTATCAACTCAGTTTTCATGCCTTGTCAACGAAAAAGTATCAAAATTCAAGTCAAGCACCAGCCAGCTGATCGACAAATAAAAGGCTTGTTACTGAAACTGATTGCATGTCCTCAGTAAATTCATCAACAAAATGTTGATCTTGTAAAAATAGTTATTGGAAGAACAAGAGATCATCAGATCCAATCAAGTACACAGTTCATAATACCACTAATAATGATACTGGAAACTAGTGGTAACTTGTCAGGTATCTACTCTAGGAAGCCAGGCCAGAAGCAAACAAGCGAATATAATTCCTACGACAATATTGACTAAATAATATAGAAGATGAGAATGCTGCTTCTGTCTTCCCTGGCCATTCTTTTTGAAATGTTCTGTTACTCCATCAAGTGTATATTTCTGTGGATTGTAACCAATATCATCACAGGCTTTCTTCATACTAAAGTAATGTGTTACTCCTGATTTGTAAACCTAATCAAAAGTAGAAAGAAAGTTTAAATAGTGATGAGAAAAAAACATTGTCAGAACATTTTGTTGAACAAAGCTAGACAAGAGTAAGTCTCATCTACCATTCAAAATTATCCTAAATGACTGTTGATTATGTAAGCTTATATCAGAAAGTGTAAGTTGGGTTCTCTTTTGWGGATGCTGTGAAAAGAAGGTAAAAATATCCACTTGGGTCAAAATAGCACACAGTACTGGAGCTGATGCTTATTTCCTTAAGGATGAGGAGATTAAGAGTAATGCTACCTCCCCCTGGATGGGATGCTAGTCTATCACAGGACTGAGTAACTCCACCCTCCCATCTCCCCCTGGCATTTTGCCAACTTGTCCAAACAGTTTACTGGTACCCTTAACAGACAGATGCTAGACTAGTCCACTAACCATTAGGCCACTGTGCCACCCATCAACAAAAGAATTTCTTGAAAGGGACAGGGGGTTTTCCCTACATTCTGATTTTCACACCAAAAAAATTTTTAGTCATTAGGTACTTGTCAAAAGAATACAAATACTAAGATATTTTATGCAGCAATTTATTTACCTCTGCTCTTGTAAGGACTGGTTGAAAGTTATAAATATATTTTCCTACCACTGAGTGAACCAACTCTGTTAGGAATGCTAGAAAAAGAAAAAGAAATCAATGATTACAACTTCTAGCGTAACAGTTACTTTATTACCAGACCACCCAACACTCATTGACCAGTTAGAGCAAGAGTTTTGACCAAAACATTAAAACCTGTTTCTGGAAGTCATTATTCAAGAAGATTATTTTTGTCTCTTGCTTGTTTGATGTGCCATCTAAGTCAATTAAATTATCTCGCTCCTATGACCATAAATTGAACTGTTAGGATTGATCTGATTACAAACAAACTCATATATTAAGTGTTTG